TTTCAATGAAATGATATGAAATCCCAGAGTATCATAGCATAATTGTTGAGAATGGGACAACTTATTTTAGTGTTGCCTCTTCACCACTGATCTGACCATCTGCTGTTAGCAAAATAAAGAATTTTTTTTTGCACTGAATTTATTTGTTTTTTCTATATAGGCTGTGTAATATCAAGTGGTGTTAGGCTCAATAGTATCAAACATTTGAGAGAGTTTGTTTGGTTCTACTCATTTTGAATCTCTCTAGTCCTAAAAAATTAATCTTGGCACTGGTGTTAACCTATAGAAACTCAGGAACATTGAGCATCCACTAGCTTCCATTTGTTTTGTGTGCTTTATGGTACTCACTTAATTCTTTCTAAATTGAATGACTTAAATAAGCCTTTGTTGGCTCAAACTGTTATCAAGTGGCTTTTATCTATATTTGTTTGACTTGATTGTATGAAACAAAATTGAAATGTCTATAAATGCATAACAAATTATCAATGTTATCAACTACATCAACTTTATATTGACAAAATTAAGTTCAGGCATTGCAGCTCAAGAATTCAAATGCAACAAAATGATAAAATTCAGACTTCAAATGTCTTAAATTGCATGGAAGCGATTGGAATAACCACCCACTTGCATTTTTGATGTTCAACACTCATCATAGTGATTAGATTGTTTCAATGTATCCATATCATTAAATTGGTTCGATAACACTTAACCTTTAAAGAAAAAATTAGCTCGTCATAGCCTTTGTTTAATTTAATCAAATATAGTATTGAAGTTTTGAATGAATTTGAATTAGTGTACATCATTCAAGTTTTTAATGTTATAAACTGTTACGTTGGCGCCTAGTCTAAGTTCAAATCTGTCTTTTATGGGCAATTTAGTCTTTTATTTATTTTTTTATTATTGTTGGGTATAAATAGACTTGTTGTGTCTAGGTTTAAGGGGGGATGCAAGAAATTGAGTTGTAAGTCTTAAGTTTAAGTTTTTGGGAGAGATTTCTTACCTCTCGAATTGTAGGAATTAGGAAAGATCGCCTATCTCTCGAATCATTGGTGCTTATTTGTTCTATTTGTGTGAGTTTGGATTATTACAATAAAATTCATATTTGGCCAAACATTTGTGGAATGTCGTTTCGATTTTGACGTTGTATTGTACCAAATTGGTATCAAAGCTTGAGTTTTGGGAGATCGCCACATAATCATTGCAGGCGTGTGAAACAGTTTTTGGTGTGAAAAATAGCAGAGACGCGTCGACGGGGGATCCCTTTGTGACCTAACTCTGCGATAATCGCCAATAGAGAGGTCGTCACGAGATTGCACCACACTGGGAAGGCTTCAACGCGAAGGATCACGACTCGCTGAGGTCCAAAACTAATTTGAAATGGAACCCCGTGATACAGTAGGGCCCAGTGTTTGCTGGGAAGGAAACCGTCAGGATCCTGAAGGTTAGAGCTTAATGTGAAAGAGACGACACGAAGTGATCGTGACTACGGGATCACAACAGAAGCGTGGTGGTATATCGCAATACACTGGCGATTAGAACCGCTAAGAAGCCATGCAATATTGCGGCGAACAGAGATTGAAACTCCATCTTTTGAAAGAGGTAGCTGAAAAACATTAGCAGGATTGCAACGTACAATGCTCTAAGACCAGCGAATCGGAAACGTTGGGGATCATGACGAATAGAGACCCGCAAACCTTAATCGCGAATGGATCCGTGCGAGTTGAGCCTGCTGGGGAGCCGACAAGGTCGCAAATTACATTTTAGTTGCGGCTTAATCCTTGTTGCGAGTCGTTCGGTTGGATTGCAGCTTGCTTGGTATAGTTCAGTCACAACTCTTGTAACTGCATGTAGGTGCTTCCATCTTTTGGCGATAAAAAAACATATGGGAAAAATGACAGCTAAGAAAATAGAGGATTTGAAGAAGAAATTAGAGAAAGATGTGAGCCAAATAAGATCTGAGATGGAAGAAATGTTCGTGACCATAGAAAATATGTTTTCATCCATAGAGAGTCGAATGGAGGTTGAATTCGTAAGCATAGGGGAAATGCAAGAAATGATGAAGTTAATAAAGTTTCACACAAAACTGGTTTCACCTGCCACAAGGATGAGAGACGATGTCAGGAACAGATTCCAACAACAACAATCAAAAGGATTCATACGAGATGAGGGCAACGTCACAATTTTAGGCGGATCAGGAGCTGTGGTATCGAGCGAGGAAACTTAGAGCGGACTTGTGCTACAACACTTTGAAGAAATAACATAACATTTGGATGGCTTGAACAAACAAAAACAAGTGGGATTGAAGTTGACAGAGATGGAAGATACACATGAGACGGAGTTGACAGAGATTCAATTGATTGATGAGCCACAATATGAGTTGTTTGGGCCTGCGATATTTTCTAAGATTGATTGGAAATTATGCCACCATCCGATTCAAATGCTGCCAAATGATATGAACAAGACTATATTTCAAACTCCTGTGGGTCACTATGAATTCCTGTTTAAATGGAAAAGATGGTCAGATAATGACGCTAGATGGAAGCCACTTGACTTTATCAAGCGACAGTCTAATTTTTTCCGAGCTTGAGGACAATGTGTCTTTTGGGGGAGGGAGTATTATTACGTTGGCGCCTAGTCTTAGGGCAAATCTATCTTTTATATGCCTAATGGCAATTTAGTCTTTTATTTTTATTATTGTTGGGTATAAATAGGCTTGTTATGTCTAGGGTTAAGAGGGGATGTAGGAGATTGAGTTGTAAGTTTTAGGTTTAGGTGTAAGTAGAGATTTCCTACCTCTTGAATTGTAGGAATTGGGAGAGATTGCCTACCTCTCGAATCGTAGGTGCTTATTTTTTGTATTTGTGTGAGTTGCTTGGATTATTACAATAAAATTCGTGTTTGCCCTAATTTCTATAGAATGATGTTTTTGATTTTGGCGTTGAATCATACCACACTCTCTACCCATGCCTCGTTTGCACAAAAAGGCATTTAATTCAATGACAACATCATCTCAAAGCCCATTAGCATTGGTACTCATTCATTTTGTTAATGTGTTCTGAAGCTTTTTTCTCTCCTCTAAAAATTCAACTTCTCTTTCATTCCAAAAGGTTGACTTAAGAAAGGTGTTAATCTATGTAGTTTTGAACATGAATAAGCTCTCATTGTTTATAATGATGATGGGATAAAGCTGGCGCTGAACATCCCTCCGCAATAGTAGGAAACTCAGGACATCCAACATCATTCTGTTTGAGATAAACTGAACTAGTTCAGTTCAGTTCTTTTCTAACCCTAATGGGCCAGTCAGCCTTTTAGGGCTTTAATTATTTGCTTTAATTAGGATTATGATTGCTTTAGTAGTTCTATTATGTATATTTGTTGTGGACTAGTTTTGGGGGGGCTTAGGATTTTAGTTTGGTATTTGTGTTAGGACCCAACCTTAAGCTTGAAAGTAACTAAGGCGGGTACAAACAGTCGAAAGGTGGGAACTAAGTTTTCTATATCCATTTACAATTTTAAAAATGAAAGTGCCGCAAATTAAATTAAATTAAAATAATATATTAAATTCATCTCGTTACTGGTTGTCTGCGTCAACATTATCCCTTCTATCATTCATCTTTAATCATTTAATTAAACCTGAAATGTTTTAAAACAAAAATAAATTAAATAAAACTAGTGTATACTCATACTTCTAAACTGCAGTAATACATGAGAAAAAAATAATATTCATGTCACTTAAGCTTTTAATAAATTAATAAAAATATTGATGCTATTAAATAAATCTTAATTTATTAATAACATATCAAAATCGTTATATATCTCTACAACCGTCAGAGGAACACTGTCTAAAAATTTGTATCACTTAAAATATTTTAATATTAATATCATTTTTCATATAAGTGCACGAGTACATTAGAGTTCTCCTATTAGTACCGTGAGTGCTTTCATCATAGTCAATCATGCACATGTAAACATACAATAAAAATTCACTTTCTACTAATGAATATTTCAGTCTCATTTGCAAGCAATTTGTATTCTTGTGTAAACATCAATATCTCGATAATTTAAACGAAGCTGAGCACACATCATTTGTACAATAGCAAAAAAAATAATGAAGTCATAAATCATGAGTATGCAAAAAAATATTATTATACCAAAAGAATATGATTACTCACATCGATGATTGACGATCTGTTTGCTCTTTGTTTGCATTACTTATTATCAAATTATCACCTATAAACTATGAAATATATAATTATCGTTTTACTAAATTGTGTTTTAATTTAATTATGAATTTTTGTTGTATCATACTATTTAATTAGAATTTTGACACCTTAAACTATAAAAATTAATTATTGTAATAAAATTTATTATTAAATTTTTTTTGAATTAAAATCCTAGCCTTTCTTTAGTGTTCGAGTCAAATGCACTTAAGTTATAATTTAAATAATAGACTCATAACACGCGCTCACCCGCGCACACACTTCCACTTCTCGCCTCGGCCGTGCCGTTTTAAATCATGGATGGAATATCTTTACTTTAAATTGAATAATTCTATGAGTAAATGTCAATGAATTGATTTGATCCTTTTTTGTTGAACATGATATCATTTAATTTTCAAACATCTGCAAAAGAAAATAAGGTTGATTTTAGCCATCTAATGATACTATTTATTAGATTTAGCAGCATTTTCTAACCATATTAAGATGCATTTGGAAAGTTTGTGGACAAAATCATCACAAATTAACCATTCAAATAAATTGGGATAGAATCAGAGTTATCTAGTGAGCAATGCTTTCCGTGTTAGAACAAGTTATATGAAGGATTTATTAAAATTATAAGTTTTATGATTAATTGTTATTTAAGGTCGATTTTATATTCCTATCTTTACTTTGATTTGGTGAATTGACACCATTAAGATTTTAACATTTGTTTGAATATCATCTTTAATTATTAAAAAAAATTATATAATTCTCTCTCAGCATTTTATTTTCTCTCTGCAGGGGCCAAAATAACGAATCTAACCATGAAAATGAATTTGAGCCTAGCAATGATTCTGATGTGAGAAAGGTTGGATGTTTGTACTCCTATATTGTTCATCTGAATAGTGTTATTTCATTCTAAAATTTTATTTTTGTTATTTGGTTGATTATAAAATTAGAGTTGACTTGGCCAAAGTTTAATATTTTATCTACTTGTTGGTATAAAGATTGCAAGTTTAAAATGTGTTATCTTTTTTTCTATGCTGATTCTTCTTCTTATCCCTTTACATTAATTGTTTTATTGGTAATTTAAATTTTTTTATTCAGTTTTATTATTGTATCTACTACCCTCTACGTCAAAATCAACTAATAATACTATCAATCGTAGTTTCTTCTTAAATGCTGTTTTCACACTTTGTTTGATGCTATACTTTTATATCAATCTTTTTGGTTCCAATAGCATCAATCCTAAAATTATTAGGTGTATTGATCCAAACACAATTTTAAGTGAGTTCTTTTGTCCCATCCTGGATCCATATGACACTTTTTGTCTTTTTGACTTTTTATGAATTTATTATTTTAATTTTCCTCACCATCCTGTTCACTTAAGCCGCGTTGACCACGAGGGCCTCCGTTAAAAATGTTGTGTAGGCTATTTTGACTCATCTCTCGACCAAGGGGAGGAGCTTTACCTAATCATCCCAATCGGTTGTGTTGTCCATTCAGCATAGGCTTCACTATTCTTAAAACTTTCAATTGCTTAGGCTTTAAATACAAAGAAGAAGGGTATGCGGTTTCAAATTAATCAGCAATCGTTGGCCTGCCAAAAATTGCCCATCCAATGCTACAATGCTTTTGGAGCTATCATTCATTATTGGAGGATATGATTCTACAGCTTCCTAATGCACAAATGTATTAAGGAGGATCAGAAGGAAGATAAATGCCCGCCTTTATACCAATCATTGTAAATTGCCTATTGACTTAGGAGCTAGTGTCATAGATAGAGTCCAACATCCCAATGGCCATACATTGGGTATAATGAAATAGTTTGGGGCCCAAATGATGGATTCAGGTTAAGCTTTTTAGAAGCCGACTAATAATGAAGAAGCCATTTGTTCTCAATATAAATTCCTCGAAGCAATTAAAGAATATGGAGTTCATGGTTATGGTCATTATAATGCAAACAATGTCTCCCTAGGAGAATAATATCTAGGAGAGCCTCTATATGAAGATCATGAATGTGTCTTTCATCATTGAATTATGTGAGATATTACTTGCATCTCGGATGACCTCTGACCAACTAAAAGAAATTGCTAAATGAGCATCAGAGCATAACTCCTTGGCATCATCTTGTCCAAATATCCGTTCTTAGAAGGTTTCAATAATCATAACAAAAGCGACAATCTTGCTAAAACACTCTCATTGGCATAGTGAACTCTGAGTTGTGAAATAATTTTCTCCTTTTTTTATAGTTCTCAAAGCAATACAAGAATATGGACAGTAAAGAAAAGCTTTGATGCTCATGCCCAGGGGTTGAGGCCATCAGACAAACAAATGATCCACTCCTAGGAGAATAAATGCCCAAGAGAAGCCGTCACTGAAGATCTAGGACATGTTCTCATTGTTAAAATGTGGAAGGATGAATGACACACCAGACAACCCCAATCAATTAAAAGAAATTTCCTGGTAAGAAAGAAGTGTGCCATATGATCAATATCATTGTTAAGTTTTCGCTGCAAGAAAAGTCCTAGCAACATACTTATGGTCATGGTCTCACCAAGGGCTCTGAAGTTTGAATGAGAAACATTGGGTGTGATATCTAGGTCAATTTCATAGAAATCTGTCATTTGAAGTTCCATAGGAGTGGATTCTCAAAGTTTGCAATGGATCGCCACGATGGTGAGCACTCTTGGGAGCAACAACAATGATCATAAATAAGGTCCCAATGAGTGTCACCCCCACTTTAATGCTAGATAACTTGTTTTTGTCGTTTGACTCCTTAAACTTCATCTTCTATGTATGATGCCTATAATAGAAACTTTGTATTAGTAAAAATTTATTAAATTTTTTAATTATGTTTGTATAATCTTTATCCATTTATTTACCTATTTTAGTTATTTCATTTTAACTAATGATTATAATTCTTTAAATTAAGTTTAGCATATTTCTTTAATCAAATTATTAATCTTGTATTTTTATTAAAAATATATCCAACTTGACATGAAGTTTTTTTTATTTTGCTATCTTTATGTAATATAAATCTTATTTAATTTATTTTTATTATAAATTTATTCATAAGTCATAATTAATCTTTGTTAATTATTACCTTAACTTTTGATAATTATTACAATTATATTGTTTAAATTTTAATAATTACAACCTTAATTTTATTTTATATATATCATTTGTTATATATATATATCGCGCGCGCGTTATTATGTTAATCGATTTCATTATTTGATAAGTTTGTAATTGAACATAACAATCATACTTATTTCAATAATTGATAGTTATATTTAAAATTCATTATTAATTGTAATAAAACAATATTTTAAATAAATACAATTTTGAATGAAAACTTGCTCAAAATAACAATTATAACCCTAACTTTGTTGATAATAGATCATGCTCGATCGCTGCTTGACGCCTAATCTTTGTCAAATGCGTTGCTTCGTCTTCTCTTTCACATGAAATGCTCACCAAGGCTTATATTGTCATTCTCGCGTTTGCTTAATTTCCTACTCTCGATTGAAACCAGATTTGCCATCTCCATCTCCTATTTGTAATTATGAATTTGCATTTCCCATTCGTTTGCATTACTGAGCCCCAATCTTATAATTGCTAGTGCTTAAGATCACTGCATGCTACTCACATGAGTTCTCTCTTCGCTCTCTACATGTGCATTGGTCCGGTCGCTGATCACCCTCGGCTTGATTTCTTACTCGGCTCTTGTTTGCAGGTCGCTCTCTCCTCTCCTTTGCAGATGTTGATCATTTCATTCTTTCTACTCCTTTGCATGCACTCGACTTCCTTATCTTGCCAATCGACCTACCACGCTTTGCTTTTCATTGATTCGAGCACAAGAGGTCCGTCTCCTTACCAGTCTCCCTATCTCGGTTGCTGAATGCTTCGTCTCCACCTCTCTTTTTTGTATCTATTTAAATTGGTTACCACTTTTCCTTCATTCGCCACTTTGATTTCTTCCTCTTGGTTCACATATTTGTCTCCCTCTTTTTCATATTTGCCATTTTCGCTCCTAGTGAATCCATATTTAACAGAATATCTCAACAAGAGTGAATGCCTTAACAAACTTTGGAGGGAGCTCATGCTTTTAAAAAAGCTTCCATTTTTCCTACTATAAACTGATAACTTGCCCTCCAGTTATTCAATGAATCAAAACTTGTCTTTTACCTTAAAATGGGAGGAATAACCTCATGATATTTGGACCAATTACTGATAGAGAACGAACCCTCTCAATATTAAGATAGATTCAAGTTGAAGATTCTTTTGAGGTTGTACATTCACGATAAAAAAAACATCATGAAATGCATATTAAAGATAAGGAGATTAATCGTTTCTGTTTAATTGCAATGATTTAATTGTCTAATGCTGTAAAATGCTGTGCAGAAAAAAAAAGCCGTGCTTCAAATGGTTCCACATAGCTCTGAAGGAGAGGAAGATGTTGTAGCTTCTGTAGTTCAGCCTGATCATGTTCATTTTCTGCCTCAAGGTAAAGTTAATTATACTTTTTCTCTCATTTATAAATCAAAATAAAGCTTCATAGACTAATGTTTACGAGGTGCCAACTTTTGCGAACTGAATCAATCTTTTAAAACTTTGATTCATCTTTTACATTTATTGAGCCAAAGCCGGTTGGTGTCCACCATTCCTGTTCATATTTTTGTATTACAATTCATGGTATTTTTGTTAAAATGTATATTGCTAGTTCTATTTCTATATAATAAATAATACAGTTTTAAGTGTATGCATACAAGAATAACCCTTTTTATCTTAAAAGCATCTCTGCTTAATCACTGACTTACACAATTTTGCTGATGGATATTTATGTTTTTTTTTATGAATTAGTCGTTGTAAGAAATATTTTTATCTTATTATTTCATATTTTTTTCTACTAAAATAAAATTTATGCTAAATCTTTTAGTGATAATTTCGTATGCAGAACATGGTGCACAACAAGCAGATGAACCTCAGGTATAATTTGATTTTTTTTTTTTTTTTTATGTTAACAAAGTTCTAATTTGTTTGGTAACCCTTGTCAATTTCGGCAAGCCCCTCATGGATTGAATTTTATGAGGATCGGTCATTGGAAGGGTGAGACTGTTTTTGTGAAGATGAAAATGCGCATTTGTAAATATGATTTTGGGCTCTCAGATAAGTGTTCAACAGACTAATAGAGCAGATTCTAAGCTAAGAGATACATTTTGCTCAATAACTAAACATTTTAGCAAAAATATTTAAAAACATCCTTCTTGCAGTTTGAACTGAATTTGATTTCCAAAAAAATTTAAAAATGCTGAACAGATGCCTTTATTAATGTCAACTTGAGTGTGAATTTATTAATATTTGACTTTATTTTTCTCAATTTGCCAATATTGGGTGTAATCATTAATGTTTTTGTCAAATTATGTTAATTGAAGTCTCATTATTTTTGAGTTTATGTTATGTACTCATTACAAGAATTATTTAAATTTTTCAGATTACTGTTTATATAGTTTTGCAATTTCAATTGAAAAAAATCTTAGGATACCTGAAAATTTATGAAATTTTAAACCAGTAAATGTTTAATATTTTGTTAAACTGGTGAAATGTTGCTTTTACAATCCAAAGAAGAAAAGAAGTATATCTTTTTGTCGGTTAATCTTTGCACTTTCATCAATGTGCTCAATATGTTGGATATTCTTAGCAGCTATTTTATTTGTTTCAGAAGCCAGCACTCTTTGACGGGGGAAGCAGCATTAAGGAATCAGATAGGGATAAACAGAAAACCTTTCCTCAGGCAAAGGTTGATGGTGCACCTGTTTCTGATGGGATTTTGCCACTCCCAAAATCTGGATTGTTGTCTTTGGCCGTTGACAAAGCAAAGCCTCTTAAGCAAGTCATAACTTTTGAGATCCTTGTCCCTCTACGCCGTTTACCGGTGGTATGTTTTTCTGTGAAGTTAGTAGATTATTTGTATAAAACTCTGGTTTTATGAAAGTGGATAATAGTTTTAAAACTTTGCAAATATGGATAACAATTTTTCTTACTTTGCAATAAATGGCAATAAAATCTGGCATATATGCATGAATTTCTTGAATATGTTATTATTAGAGTTTATTATGAAACACTGGGATACAATTTAAGGTGCTACTCTCTAGTAGTATATATATATATATAGATATAGATATAGATATAGATATTCACAATAGATATAGATATAGATATATATATTCACAATAGAGCCAAGTATTTGGAATTTTATATAAAGAAGCCTATTTTTCCTTTGGGTCCTTATGCTTGCCCTTAGTGTTTCAAGTATCATTTCATCCACAACATTTGAAGTGCTTGATTTTACTGTTATCTATTTCAACCTTTAAACTATGATTTGAAATGTAAGAATTGAAATCTGCTGATGTTGTCCTCTATATCAACCTTTAAATTATGGTTTCAGACTTGAAAATTGTAATTTTTCAATTTTTTTTCTACAGAGAAACTTACTAGTGAATTGAATGTTCTGCAGAAAGGTGATATCCTGGCATATCGCTGTGTCGAGCCCTCATCCTCAATGTACCCTCAACTTTCGTCTCCTCAAGTACGAGTTCCTTTATTAGCGATTAACTACTAATATAAAACGTTTTGAATTATTTACTTTGTTTTGTTTGATCAAATTGAAAGAGGGGGAATGAAAGGGGTGAAATAAAATGGTAATAGTAAAAGAAGTGATTTGAAGCATGAATTTGGACACAAAATACAATGCTAATAAGTAGGATAAGAAATGCATGAACGTGTTTTTTTTATTAACATAAAACATGTACCGAGACTTTTTAATATCAATACTCTTTATCAAAAAGTACTCAATGATCGTTAAAATAAAATATTACATTAGTTTGTGTATAAGTTTATTTCACATTTTATCAAGTATACTTAATTGTCAACATCACCAACACTAGCATTAATTATTATAAATTAAATATGATTTTTATTAATGCCAATATTGTCGTCTCTAGACAATGTCAAAAAACTTGAAAAAAGTAATATTCAAATAACCGTAAAAATATTATCACAATGATGTGTTACTAATTGGGCTGTAAATGATCCGAGCTCGAGCGAGCTTATGCTTGACTCGTGTTTGACTCATTCGAAATTACTCGTGTTCGAAATTGGCTCGTGAATAGTGTGTTCGTGGCTTGCTTTAAATATTCTTGTTCGTGTTTGATTCGAAATTGGTTTGTTAAAATTAATTGGACAAAATAGATATAGTGTGTTGGATTCAAACCTGCACCAATTATTTGCAATAGAATACGCAGATTCATATGATCACATGAGTTGTTATGATTTAAACTTAAATATAAATAAATAAATTAATTAATATATACCGTAGGCAATATTATAAAATGAAGAGAAGAGGAACAAAAGAGTGGGAAAGGAGGAACCCAAAAACCGTAAGGATTCTCCCCTCGGCATACAACTCAACCAAAAATCTCTAAAAGGTAGTTACATGTATACCCAAAAGCTTTAAAGTAAAAATTGGAATAGTATAGAATTGAAGATAAGAGAAAACAAAGCAAGGTTGTAGCATTTCCGAAAAAGTCTGATGTTGAGGATAGAATGAGGGAACAATTTTCCTTCAGTAAGTGTCGTAACAGTAACTCATGAAAGGAGGAAAAACGACGATTAGCAAAGCCTGTGGGAGCACGAGAGAGTAGCCACTAGAGCACGACAGAGTGCATGAAAAGATGACTGGAGAAAATTAAACAACAAATAAGAGCTCCTCAATAAGTTAAAACCCAGAAGGCAGTATGGAAATACTTAAAACAACCAAACATCCATTGAAACAGTATATGTAATCATCTGATGTAAGGTATATCTAACAGATCTCTCCTTAAAAGTATTTGAAGTTTCTTGGGAGGACTAGCAAATACCCCCAAATATCCCCGTTGAGCTAGCCAATCTGCGGTTCACTATAGATAAAATTTCATTTAACTTGGAGATCATGTGAATCGATATATTGCCAAATATTGTTTAAACATATAAGTAAATTCTAGATAGGCTTCTTTCTTCTGGAAATAAAATCCAGAATATCAGAAGAATCGGTTTCAATGATAAGTAAAGGCTAATTGAAAGTAACAACAGTTAGCAAAGCCAGAAAAACTGCCCAACCCTCACTTTTAGTGGGAGAAAGAGCCCATACTGAAGAAGAGAAAAAGCAAAGACATTAGCCCAAATGATTTCTGAAATTGGCCCCAACACCTGCAAAGTTAACTTTCCAATTTTCATCTATATTTATTTTGATTCAGCCAGGTGGAGGGGGCTGCCAACAAATTAATGTTAGCCTCCAGCCCTCCTTAGGCAAGCTAGGCATCAAATGTAGATGTTCATCGGCCTTGGTATAGTAAGCAATGATATTTGAGATAGTAGAAGTAGGGGAAGGGAGAGAGTGCTCATGCCTGACATTATTCCTAGCACACCATATAAATCACAATACTAAAAAAGTAAAAGAACACATTTTGATATCAAAATAGCTACTAGGCGGCTGAGCAAACATAAGATCTTCCATAGAATTCCTTGTAAGATTTCTCAAACCAAAAATCTTTCCCAAACTTTGCCAAATTTCTCATGCAAAGGGACATAAGAAATAAAGATGTAAAGCACTTTCTTCAAAACATTTATAAAGGCAACATTGTGAGGCTAATCTCAATCCCATGAGCTTCAACGTGTCATCAAAAGGAAATAAGTTTAGAAAATTTCTCCATAAGAATATTGAGATTGAAGAAGTGAGGCATTTATCCCATATATTAGTTCCCTAATTCCAATTATCAAATCGATGAAATGAGTTATAAAGCATTTTTGAGATGGATGTGTTTCGAATTGATTTCAGATGGGGCTTGTCTTTTGTGCTATTGCGTAAAGGTATGTTAGAAATTTGGGGGGGGGGGGGGGGGGGGGGGAATTTCACCGACCCCGCCAAATCTTTCAATAAATGCAAATTCCATTGCCCCTCCAAACAAAAATTAGAGACAGAAAATTGAGAATGTAAAGAAGAAAGGGAGAACCACTAAAAAAATCAGCCCCCCCAATTATCATGCCAAAAAGAGATGCTTCTATCACCAATTTTCCGAAAAGTAAACTGATTAGCCTTACTTCTTACCTTTAGGATTGCCTTCCATATTTTAGTTCCATGGTTTCCACTTAGCAACAGAAGGATGATCAAAAGAATAGTATTTATGAAAACCAAAGGGAATTCCCTTCTCTAAATTTGAAACAAAGTTTAAACTTGTTGATATCAGCAATATAATTGAGGCTTTTAAAGCCAAGGCCACTAGAGTTTTTAGGTTTGCACATTTTTTGCCAACCGGTCCAGATTTTCCTAGTGCCGTTTCTCACCCATAAAAACTTATTAAAATTATCTTCAAAGTAATCTGTGTGCTTTTCTTTAAGTTCAAAAGCTGTAAAGCATAATGAGGAATATTTTGTAAAACAATTGTGAGAATAGTTAACATGCCCCCATTAGATAAGAAAATATTCATCCAATCACACATATATATATATATATATATATATA